GATTATTTGGCTCTGTAAAGTTTATTTGATTGAACCTGTACAAATAAATTAATTTACAAAAAAAAAATTACAGTTTGAGGATGAATGCTAGTCCCAAGCAACGTCTATTGGTTCTATGTGTGATTATAGCTGATCTGAATTTAACAGAGTTGCATCCTTGGGTAGCCAATCATGCTCATGCTCATGATCATGCTCGGCGTTGCTCACTGAGCTGTTCCGATTAGCAATTAAAAAAGAAATTTAGGCTTTTTGGCCTGAAACTGCTTAGATAGCAAAATAAAATTGAAATTCACCGTCTCCAAATTGTTGTAAATATGCAAATTGTTTTTTATGGTCAATCATTCTCATTTGCGCTCAAATTCAGTCATTTTGAAAGTCTTCAAAACGACGTTTACGATATTTTTCAACAAATCAACTCAAAAACGTCACTCCCAATTGAAATGACGCCTGAGACAAAGCTATAAAAACAAATAATTTTAAATATGTTGACCCTTAACCAAATCCCTTTGCACAGAGCTTTGAGTGTGTTGGTTTATTTCCATTAAATTCTATTATAATTGCTTATCTTTTGACAGATCCGCGTATTTCGTCTACTTCTTGCAGGCTTCATCAGTGCCAAGTGGTGTTGAGTACTTGGCACTGAAGAAGTCTGCAAGTAGTAGACAAAATACGTGTATCTATCAGAGGATAAGCAGTTATAACGAAATTTAAAGGAAATAAACCAACACAAGTAAAAGCTCTTCATAAATAATTTCTGTTTAGTAAAAAGTATACAGGGAAAAATGCATCTAATTTCATGTTAAAAATCCCAAAAAAGTGTTTTAAACGTAAACAACAACACAAAATACCATCATTTTGTTTGATTATTTTTCAAAAAATAATAGCGAATGGTAAATGTTTTCTTGTGTTAAAATTTTCAATTTGTACTCTAAAAAATAAGAAAAAGGTAAAGTTTTTTTTTAACATTTAATTTATGACTGTTTGTAAAGTTTTGAACAGAAAATTATATTGATAGCCTTAAGAAAGGTTTGCTGGGCAAAAAACAAATAAAATATATCAAAAAGTTGTTGCCCTGTAATTTCTGTCAATTTCAAACGGTGCATCTTGAACATTTGAAAGAAGATGCAATTTCTCACAAGTTTTTAATGAAAAACATTAAAAAGAAAAAGAAAATGGTAATTTTTAATATTTTAAGTTTTAATCTCTCTTTGATATTTTAAACATGAATTCTTATACCGCGTATATTCTTCGAGAAAAGGAATTATTGCTTTCAAAGTGTTTTTATGTTACTTCATCAAATTTTCAGCTCCGAAGCGTAACTTAAAAATTCGATAAAATATGATAACTGATATACCTTTACCGAATCTCGAAAATTTATCCAATATTTGCAAAGCTGGGTTAATTTTACTGAGATCTCAACACAACTGACATTTGGTTGCTGTACCTTGGAAATTGTTTCGCTGAATTTCAGCACCCACATGTATTTTTTTTTCCATACATCTTAGTTAAACTTGTTGCCGAACACTTGGCTGTGAAAATTTCGACTTTAATACTAACTGTTAATATTGCACGAAGGTTTTCTAATATTTAATTCATTGGATTTTTTTTAAATGTCTTTGTCTAGTAGCTACCAAATGGATATCACATTTAACGTTGAAATATTTGATCAGAAATACACAGTTAGAAATACCTAATTTTACACATAACGGAATCCATCTTTGACATAAAGGATGAGACGTAAACAAACATGTCATATAACATTAAGTGCTCCGAGACTGAAAAATTCGTTATTCGACGAAATGTACGTTTGATTGAGCTGAATTTTGCGTCTATTATGACTCAATTTTATGTCATAATAGATGCTCGTATATGTCAGTCTCAGAGCACCTAAATTTACATGAATTTTTCTAAGTGTGTACCATATATTCTTCGCATTTCAAACTTTTTGCTTATTGCATATAAGCTTATTGCGTGCTCACAACTTAGTGTTATAGATGAACTTCCATTCAATTGAGAGCTTTCAATGCCTGAACCATTTTTGCATTAGCATCATTGTGGCTAAGTACAATCTACTCTATGCTCAGGGAAGTCGAAAAATTTTCCAACCCGAAAAATTCTTAAACCGGACTGGGAATCGAACCAAGTCACCTCCAGCATGGCCTTGCTTTGTAGTTGCGCCTTTACCGACTGAACTAAGGGAGGCCTCATTTTTTTAATGCCTTGCACATATCAGACACAACAAGTCTTCCCAGAGCCGCTTACTCTCGGAAGCGACCTAGTCGTCCCCGGGATCTCGAGACAATGAAAACGTTAACTTTTTTACGACATGCCTCCCGGAATGTAGACAATGCTATGTAAATAATTAAGTGGAATGCCATTTGGGTGTTCATTGCCGTCCACCGTCGTTGTCGGCGTTGCCGTTATGGCTCCGGCCCCTAGCACAGATTGGGATGCAAACAGAACATAACCAGCAGCAACGGACGAAAGTCAGGGTGACAGTAGGAAACAGTTTCCGAGTCTATTTTTCCTTTCTGAAAACTCAGAGCCCAACAATACCGGTCGGATCGGGAGGCACTGTTACAAGTTCCGTTTTACCTCCTCTGGTTTCTCATAATGCGGCGACTTTTCATGGGTGGTTTGAGTTAGGGAAGACGGAGCAAAAAGGTGTGGAATTTGGGCTGGGCAAATCCTTTGTCTGTAGGCAGGTACATGGAAGCTGTCGAAAAGTGCGCAGGGGTACGTACTTTCGCGATGAGAAGTGTCTATTGACGATGGGCGATGGGAATGATAAATTACGGGCGGAGAGTTTTTCAGACGGGGAGGGGATGTTTTTCCTTAAAGCTTTAGCTGAACATTATGGGGAATCATTCAATTAACGTTGGTGGGTTTGTGTTAGAAGGGATGAATCAATCAGTGTGAATTAATGAGCTGTCGAGGTTGAAATGAAAAATGGATGATTTTCTGCCCATTCAGTGTGAATGGCTTAAGTTAAACGATTTAAAGGGAACATATTTTTGAAGAATCACTCACCCTTCCTTATTTCTTATTTGGCTATAATATAAACGCCACCTTGAAAAGTCACCCCATGCACTTAAAATTATAGGACTGGAAGCGTTTAGTACCCAATAAATTAGACTTAGTGACCAACTAGTTTAAAAAAGTTACTAAAAAGTTACTAATGGTCTACCGGAAGTGGCGCAAACAGCGAAAAGTGGTTCAACACTATCTTCAATACCATCAGTTATCGATAACAAATGAAGTTTGAGATCGTGTTTTGAACTCTTTTGTAAATAGATTACGTTAATAATGACTCTAAACTTTACGAGCTTATGGTTTAATGATTGTACATTTTAGTCAGTGAAATTAGCCTTTTCAATCAGTTAATTCAAGTAAGATAAGCATTTTAAGGTAGCACTATTCATTATTCCCTTAATTCAGCCTTCTCAAAAGAAAACCTGACCCTTATTGACTTGCCAACACTACACCTTGACTCTCGGTTGAAACAGGACGAACATGTGAAAGCATTCCACCTCAGCTCCTGCGCTGACATAAAGGCATTTCAGCAATGTGTGTACAAACACATTCAATGCCAGACAAATACTCACACCCAGCTCCGAGCAACATACAGGGATGCGTTGTTAACGGTGCCTGACATGTTATGGCATTTTTCAGCTTTATTAAGGCTGAACGCAGCCCAGATTAGGTGACACTGTTGAGATTCCCTCGCTGATGAATCGGGGGATGTTTGTCATTCGGTGGATTTCAGGAGAGTGAGCCGTGTGATACCATGATGTGATAAATTCCTCGGTGTAAGCGAGGAGATCGTGTTTGGAAAGTATAAAAGAAATGACACCAAACAAATTAAATTTACAAAGTGAGTCACGTCACTTGCGAATTTGGGGCTGGGTTTTTCCTAGGCCGTTTATTTGCTTCCAATGTACAAACTTTACATCTTTGGGTTACTCGTAAATTTACTACTTTTCGTCTTCTCAGGTCGTTTGATTGCCTGACTGACAAACTGCTGAGTAAGAATTTCTGTGGTCCCGAAAACTATACTTTAGATCAGCGCTGCCGAACGTGCGGCCCGCGAGCCAGACGTGGTCTCTGGATCTCAGCAATGGCATCGTTCAAGTTCAATTTTATTCATCATTTTCAATTTCAGTCCACCATGAATGAGAAAGAAAAAAATGCGGCTCTAAACATGTTCATCGAACATAGATATAGCCATTTGAAAAAGCAAGTTTTGAAAGGGTGGGCTTAATAAGTAAGGAGATCTTCTACATGCTCCAAGTTTTAGAACTGGTCAGAAAAGTCTACCCTGTACATCACTACGGATGACCAGGACATTAAGGTTTAAATATCAAACCAGCATCTTCTGAAAGCCTTTTCCTAATTCCTACTTCAAATTCTATCCTTTTGTGACCACAACCATATAATTCCACGCCAGTGGTCGTGTAAGGGAAGACAATCTTCTTCTGGCCTTTGGTAATTCCTTTACTCAAGAGAAATTCTACACATGCATATACCGACAAGCCGATTGCTCTCACACATGATTAAGTGTGTGGCAGGAAATGAACATGAAGGCGGGTAATTTATCCTCACATCCGGTATCCTAACTACCAAGCAGGAATTACAACCTCTCCTCACATTGGAGGAAGGGGCCAATAACCATAAGCCATGTCGTCGTTGATGGTGCTTCTTGTGGTTGCAAAGCAAAGCAGAGTAGCAAAAGTGTATCACAAGAAAGCCTAGTGCTCTAACAAGCATTAACAGATGGCACGGTACACCGAACAGAACATGGATTGTTATTTTACAATTGTTTTCTATATTCCTCCTTGTGTGCCAGACAGTCGGACGGGTGAAGAAAATCGATTCCATGCCTAAATAGGATCTAATGAAATGCCGCAAAGTACTGAAAGGCTCGACTACTGGATACTGCTAATGAATGCCACGTATACATAGTTAAAATCACTTCAAAATTACTTGGTGTGGTGACTTACTTTTGGTCCGCATTCACATTTCAACACCCACTGCACGTCGATGAACTTGTTCTCGATCTGAATCTGATGGGACTGCAGCATCTCCTCGTCCAGTGGGTCGATCGATGCACTATCCCACAGATCGTATCCGTGTTCGATGAACTCAAACGGATCGCCCGAGTTGAGTGGGCAGAGAAGCTCAACCTGGAAGAAGAGATATAAGTAAAATCAATTATAGCAGACTACAAATAACAATCGTAGGCAGATAAAACTATAAGTGAAGGTGTAATAACACCTTGAAAAGTGTAAGCTGATTGAAATATATATGATATCACCGTTAATGGGTCCAAACTGTCTCTCAATCAGTGTTGTCATGGTGGTCAGAATTGGTAATTGAAAATAAATATTATTTTTAATTATTTCCTAAAAGGGAGCAAGAGGTAAATTTTAGATAGTAACCAATTCAAAATTTTCCATGACATCACTGACTGCTCCGAATTGAGACTTCCGATTTCACGAGCATAAACATCAGCTTTCATGTACGTACTATTCGAGGTTGCTAGTCTGTGATTGATTAGATCAAACGAAATATGTCTAAAGAACCAAACAAACGGAGCTTGGGATCACCAATCCATTTTCAATGTGCAAACTCCATCGAAGCAGTACAGTCAAGATCAATAATGGCGCTAGCCTCGTCTTTACGGTCATTGGGAAGGATTGTCATTTTAAAATCCATTGTTACTAGAGACCAAGTATACCACTGCATATCCACGATTGTCACAAGAAGGACGTTTTTGTTAAGTAATTAATATCTGGATATATTTTCAAAGGTAATACAGTCTTTAAAAGCCTTATAAGCAAATAATGCGACCCTATCAACTCAGTAATGTAAAGGGGCCTGGAATTGAGGCACGTTCTGATCAGTGAACAAAAACGATAAACGATAACATCATATCAAACCACTGCGATTGACTATCGTTTAGCCGGGAATATCCCGACGAGGACTCCTTGCGTAGAAACAGTGAACAATATTTTCACTGATTCTCTGAAAATGTTTGGCTATTGCCAATTTGATTCAACATAAAGTTTCGCTGGTGGTGTAAGGGTAAGCGTGATTGCCTCTTACTCCAAAGGGTCTGTGTTCAATCCTAGTCGAGGCCGCCGGGATTTTTTGAAGCATAAAATCTCTGATCATAGGAAGTAAATCCGTTGATCCCCGGTTCATGAGTTGAAAGGTAGGGGTACATGTGTGGGAGCTTTCTTCCTGGCGTCAGTAGCATTGGTACTCAGTACGGAAAACAAGATCGAAATCAAAGGAAAAAAGTTGTATGCAAATATCAAGTGTTTTTGGGTGACATGAAGGGTGCAGGATTGGGGCCTCCCTTAGCTCAGTCGGTAAAAGCGCAACTAAAAAACAAGACCATGCCGGAGTTGGAAAATTTCTCGACTTCCCTGGGCATAGAAGTATGATTGGACTTGCCACAAAATTATACCAATGCAAAAATGGTAAAGTTATCGAAATCTCTCAAATAATAACTGTGGAAGTGCATCTAGAACACTAAGTTGAGAGCACGCAATAAGCTAATATCTAGATAGAGCTGGAATTAGGGCCTAACAGCTTTTGTAAACAATGACTTCAATCGATGATTTCTACAAATTCAAGGCTCGCCGACGCAAACCAACATCCTCATCGGATAGGGAAAGACTTCCCCTATCCGATGGCTATGTTGGTCTGCGTGGGCGTGCCTTGAGTTCCTAGAAATCATCTATAGAAATCATTGTTTACAATAGCTGTTACACCGTAATTCCAGCTCTATCTAGATATGTGATATTCAATTCGCAGAAGTTATCATTTTTTTTTTAATTAATGTTATTTCTCTAAAGTTTATAGAACTGCCCTGAGGTTCTGTTTTCATTCCTGAAATTCTAGGAAGCTCTCAATCGTTTTTGCAGTTGTTGTGAATCTTGTTGAACTGTTATTAATTAAATTAAACTGTCAAATATGTCTAAGCTTCCGTGAAACTCACTGAACATATGTGAAGAACTTATTTTTTTTTTAACATATCTTAAGTTGTGACATTTTCCCAAAAATTACCGCTAATTTTCAGAAATTTATGGAACATTCCTGGCATTCCAGAATTTTTGGAGCTTACGAAACTTCTTTGAAATCTTCCCACATTTTCCAAATGTTCATGAAGCATTCATGGAGTTCTCAGATCTTGCCTAAATTTCCATTGACTTCTTTGAAATTCTAGATGTTTTTCTGAAGATATCTGGACCTCTGTACTACATTTGTAGATTTTCAGAAATGTGTTTACTTCTCTGAAATGTCTGACACTTTTATCTTAAATTGCTCTGAAATCAAATCAAAATAATTAATATTGCTCTAAGATATTCAACAAAGTTCTTATATTGATCATCAGGTTCCACTTGTCTTCTGGAGTGTAGCCTGAGCACTTGAAACTAGGCCTTGATAAGACCCTTAAAAATAATAAAAACAATCAAAGATTTTCACTGAATTTCTCAAGATTTTCCTTAAGTTCATGGAACTGCCCTTGAATTATCGTCACCAAGTCAACACTTTTCCAATAGTCTAGATTTTCCTGATGATTTCTGAATTTTAAAGTTCTCTAGACTGCTCTGAATTTCTGATAAGGGGCTATACTTTAATTATGTCACGCTAAATTGAAGAGAACATAAATTTTGTCACGTTTTTTCTATACCTGATGCGTTGCTTGTCACAAAATAAAACACCTAAGTACCCGCGATTTTACTTGATTGAGTTGACTTAAATTTTCAATAACTTCCTAAAGTTTTGTAAACTTCATAAACGCTCACGGATGTTTGTCTTAAAACACTCATTTTCCTTGAACTTCACTGGACATTTTTGTTTCTGTTAATATTTATATGACGTTCATGAACTTTTCGAAACATTCATAGAATTCTAGGAATATCCCATAATTCCTTGGGACTTTAAGAAAGACTGCAAATTTCCTTAATTTAATCAAATTGCTCTGAAGCTATCTGATCGCCCTCAATGTACTCACAACATCGCTGAATATAATCAAACAATCAAAAAATCTAAAAGAATCTAAATGTCATTGAAGGTCTCTGAAATTTCTTGACGAAATCGTATTTTTTTAATTAATGGAACTGCATTGAAGTTCTCTAAACAACATAGTTAAATTTTCGACAATTTTTTAAAGACTTGAAATTCCCATGATAATCATATTCCTAAATTACGCTCACATTTTCCTGATGTTAATACAGACAGGACGTCCAGGCCTCTCTGAAGTTGGGCAGTCAAAGCTCCGATGACCCTACCCTTGTAGACGATGGATGTGTCATCTGCGAACAGAGACAACGATCCACCATCAAGGAGAGCCGGCATATCGGAGGTGAACAGGTTGAATAAGATGGGGTCAAGGATGCTTCCTTGTAGAACCCCGGCACCGATGTTGAAAGCATCCGATGTGATGCCATTCAGAGAGACTCGGTAGGTCCTGTCTGATAGATAGTTGTTTACTATCTTCACTAGGAAGATTGGAAGACCGTGCTGCTGCAATTTGAACACCAGGCCATCATGCCAGACATTGTCAAACGCTTTTTCAACGTCCAACAACGCCATGGCAGATGTTTTCGAAACAGACTTGTTCCGTCTGAGAATGTTTGTTACTCGAGTCAGCTGATAGACGGTCGAACGACCATTCCGAAAACCATACTGTTCCTCGAGTAACAAGTTGTTTTCTTCGGCACATGTTAGGAGCCGGTGATGGACTGCTCTTTCGAACAGTTTTGATAACCCTGAGAGAAGGTCGATAACTAGAAGGAGAGAACGGATCCTTCCCAGGTTTCCGGATGGGTATGACTTTAGCTGACTTCCAGCACGAGGGGAAGAAGCCAAGTCGGAGGCACAGACTAAAAATCAGTGCCAGATGGTTGTAGAATCTGGAACTCAAGTGTATAAGCTCCAGATTCAGGATGTTGTCGAACCCTGGGGCCTTCATGTTTTTAGATGATTTGATATAGGCCAACAGTTCGTTAGCCGTAATATCGGATCCCTCGGGAAAAAATATAAGGAATCTGATGGAGGTTGGTTGCGTTTTCAGCAACCTCAACTTCGTGAGGGCTGACGATGTTTTGTCCAAGATTATGGAAGCTGACGAAGTGTTGACCTATCGCGGCAGCCTTCTCTTCAGGAGCTATCAGATGAACCACTTGGTCGTCGTAACGATCCAGTGGGGTCAGTGGTGGAATGGGACTTGGGTCATTTTTAAGAATTTTGGTTAGTTTCCAACAGGGCTTTGCACAATCTGGGCTGAGTTGAGGCTAAAGGGTGTCCACGATGAAATTGCCACACACAAAATTGATTCGCAAAATTCGAGTTTTCATCCTATTGCCATCAAATTTTCAGGGATTGAGAAATAACTATTAAACTTAATTTTACCATTTTACTCGTATTTTATTTACAGTCCATACGCAAATGCCCGCACCTTGGCCTTAACCCCGGCCATAAGATTCTGCACAACCTGTGAATCAACCGTTTTTTGCATGTAAACCCATACTTTCTTCAGTTCCTCGACTGTCTTCACTACCTTAGGTCGTTTAAGAAGGTGCTGCTTCATAATCGCCCAGTACTTCTCGATGGAGCTCCGGAGTGTTGGGAGGGTTGAACATTTTCGGCACGAAATTGACCTTATTGTCCGCATACCACTTCAGCACGTCCTTGGAGTAGTGGCATGAGGCCAAATCCGGCCAGAAGATTGTTGGGACGTTGTAGGCCTTCAGGAGAGGAAGCAGCCGCTTCTGGAGGCACTCTTTTATGTACACCTGTCCGTTCATCGTGTCCTGGGTCACGAAAGGTGCACTTCGCTTCCCGCACGTGCAGATGGCTTGCCAAACCAGGAATTTCTTCGCAAATTTGGACATCTTCTGAGTGCGGACATGCTCCGGAACGCTGAACTTATCCTTGGCCGTGAAAAACAGGTTGCCGGGGATCTATTTGAAGTTGGCCTTCACAAATGTTTCGTCGTCCATGATGCAGCATTCAACTTTCGTCAGCATGTTGAGGTACAACTTCCTGGCACGGGTTTTGGCGGACTTGTTCTGCTTCTCGTCGCGATTAGGGGCCTTTTGTACCTTGAACGTTCGAAGCCCAGCCTTAGTTTTGGCCTTCTGGACAAAACTTCGGCTTAGGTGCAGCTTCTTAGCCACATCCCTAACGGAGGCGTTCGGATTTCGGTTGAAGGCCCCAACTACGCGGTTGTGATTTTTGGTGTTGTACGGAATACTTTTTCCTTCACTTCTGGGCTTCCGATCGGTGGTCAACCGTTCCTCGAACCGCTTAATCACTCGCGACACCGTGGAATTCGCGATTCCCAACGTTTTAGCGATGGAACGATGCGAGAGATCCTTGTTCTCGTGATGAATGCGCAAGATTTTATCACGCACGAGCTGTTCTTTCGACTCCATTTCCGCGAGTTTTGATCACAGGACTTTAAAACTTGCAGGATGTAAATAATGCACTATGAACTAAATCCACCCAAATTTTCATTAAATTCTACCCAACGGTTAAAAAGTTAGAGCAATTTCATAGTGTGGCAAATTCATCGTGGACACCCTTTACGTCAAAAGAGTTTAGTTTTCTGTTAATTGACACTTTATTTCATGATCATCTTTTTTATATTTCGTCATATGTTCCTATTTTTACATAGGGGAAATGGATATAATGTCAGTCAAAATGCCCCTTATTTGGGCCCATACATAAATTGAACAATCGACTAAATTTTCAATAGCGACCAAAAATATCCATTAGAACCATCCAAATGACGCATTCATCTAGATAAAATTGATAAATAGCAGATTTTTAGCGATGGGCCCAATCTTAGATCCATAGACCAAAACTAGAGCCTTTTCCGCTATATATCTGATTGCAAATGTGGAACCAAATATAACGGACTTTGTATTGGCATATTTATTAAATTCGTGACTAGCTTACCATAGTCTACGTGTCTTGTACACAACCTCACACATGTTTTAATACTTTTTACTCAAAATCACTTAAATTTTTTTACCGTGAATATTTGTCGAAGAAAGTTTTTAATTTTCCCTAATACATTGTCTCAAAAATAATTTCAATTAGAAGTGACGATTTCGTGCTACGAATTATTAAAAAATGTTGAATACCCCATTTTGAGAATATTGCAAGATTTGAAATGACCAAATTTTACCACACTCATGACAAATAACTATGTAGCGTTAAGTCTGAAAATAATATTTTTATACTGCTCAAAAGTAGCCAAAACATTCGCCATGGAATCTAAGCGGAAAGTCATGAGCAGCGTCCAATAATAAAAAAATCACATTAAGGGGTTATTTAAAAATTACGTTAGCATGATTTTCAATATTTCAGAAGCCCCCTCCCCACCCCGCTTGTAAGACGTAGTAAGATTTTCGATACCCCTCTCCCCCGCATATAAGATCTTACCAATTTGGTTTTTCGTAGATCGGTATTTCGAAAGAATCGGCTTTTTGGTGATCAAAACAAGACTTTTTTATTTGAGCTATATTATTGAATTTCCGATAACTTATTTAAAAAAATAAGTTTAAAATTTCTGATTTTTCGGTATTTAATATCCAACTTTTTAAAATAATGAGATTCAAAAAAAAATTTAGTCACGTAAATTTTCCTTGAATTTTTGCGGAAAAAGCTCATGTTTAACAGATATTAATCTTTTCCAATATTTTAAGAAAAATCAAACGTGAATTTTTCAGCGGTGGCGGTAAGATTAAGGGCTTACGCCTACCTGAAAAACCGAAAAAAAGCGAAAGTTTGGATTTTTTTTTTCTCGAAAACGACGCAACATATTGAAAATCGGTTTTCTGCCGTTTATTGAACACACATTAAATGGTACATTTATCAGTCGATGCTGTAAAAACGAGGTCCTGGTGCCCCGCACGGATGCTCCCCGTGGACGATGATTTAAAAAACGCTTTTTGCGTTGCCAACTGCGGTTTGTGATGTAATCATCTGAAATTTAAAAAAAACCATGCCAAATCGTTAAGCATGTGTTAAACTAGTCCTTGATGGTTCGGTTTTTTTTTAATTTTTTTGACAAAATGGCGGCCTTGCAAAGTTGAAGTGTCGATTTTTGATCCTTAAATATTGTCTTTGATCGGCTGTAACAAATCTAAATTAAATGATAGACGAAATCCGAACGATCGTGGACTGAACAAAATAGTAAATACTGAACAGAAATCAAAACGAATCAGACGAATCGAATGTATACATTTCGAGAAATTTTTGGCACCGGTTTTGAAAATATGATTCCGAGATAATCGCGTTTAAAGTTTCAAGTTGGGCTTAGTCCACTATAAGTGAATATTTTTGTACGTCGCATAACTTTCACAATTTTCATCGGATCAACTTGATCTTTTGAGGAAATATTCTTGACTTTATATACTTTCGATTAGGACAATAAAAAAATAGATTTTTTGAAAGTTTGCAGGTAGGCGTAACCCCTTAATCCCCTTAAGCAGGTGGCGAAAGCGGGAATTTTAAAATTTTACATAGGTGTCTTCGATTTCCAAGGAGTAATCAACTCTGCACACTGTGCCGAAACTCAGCACGGCACCCTTTTTGGCACGTATGGCACGCGTTGACAAGTATGACACAAACAATATTATATAAAACGGCAACACTGTTGAGTTTTGCCAATCATACTCATTACTATGGTTACTGCTTTGTTTACTTCAGATACTGAAAACAAAATTGAAAAACAAGTCTATGGACAGTTGACTTCCGATCCCGCCCCTGTAGAATCATCTCGGAGTCTTCTGCAGGAGATCGTCTAACGTTACCTATAGCGCTGCCGGTTATATTGCAGAGAAAATACAGCATAATATTCAAGACGTTTGGCGGACGGACAAGGATTGGGGCAACATGATTCCTATTGAGATGGCTACGCACTGGATGGATTTTACTGTGCCACGAAAAAATCGTACTCTCCCGATTGTTTCCCGACGGCTCTTCTCGTCTAGCACCACAAATGCTTCCAAATAGATCATCAGAGAGTGCAGTAAGAGATCGTAAAATACGTCACGTTTCTCGTCTAACTTCAAATAAATCCATTATTGCAGAGTTAACAAGTCAATTATGCATTTGGTACGATCCTTTAGTTAATAAGCTACCGAACGAAGTCAATGAGAACGCGTGATATGAAGGTTTGCACCTATTATTCCAAAAAACAAAAGAAGCGCTCCGACCGAATCAATTTTTATCTTCATCCGATAGGCCGAAGTGAATTCATTGGCATTTCAATATCGTTTCAATGCGTTAGGCCGAGTTTAGAATCCGTATGCTGAGTTTGGCGTCAAGAAGCAGTGTTAGACTTTTGGCAATATCTCAACGATTGGTTTCTCTTTATCAAATCTAACGGTACCTACGGAAAGGAAATAAATTTGAAAACCATCATTAATAACAACATTCCGTTTGGTGCTAAACTTATCCGAACAATTGATGCCATATTGCGCGAGATAATCGGGGATTGGTGGCTTATATGTAGGAGTTTCTCCAGATCAGATCCAACCAAACCAGAAGGACGATGAAACCGGAACGTTGGTGCTAAAAGGCTGAACACTTGTCCGTATCAGCGTGGAACATATCCACCGGTTTGATTTCCCTTTGAACAAACACCATCACGTCCTTCTTAAGTCCCCTTTGAGCTGCTTTGTGAACTTCCTCTACGCGTTTCGCTTCACAATCCCTATGTTACGTTTTTCGGTTAATTAGCTTCAAGACAGACGCTTCCTTCATGGTCCAAAATCGGAGACAAAAACATTATTTTAATTGAGTTCGTAGTTCTAAAGGAATGTAATAATTACATCAGTATTAAATCAAATAAAATAATTGGAGTTTTGGCTATAAAGTCTGGCGAGTTTATACCCAGTTTTTTTAACTGCTTAACATTTCATTTGTTTTTGGCAGTCTTCCTCGGTAGAAATTAATTCCACCGTAATTAAATTTACCCTGAGCTACCAAAATTTTTCCACCGAAAAACCGTTGTGAACATAAATAAGCACAAAAGTCATTATAAATTCATGGTTGCCGCCTTGATTGATAGATTTGGGCTCATTCGGCACAGCTTTTGGCACAGCTAAATCATTCGGCATAGATTAAGGTGGGCAGAGTTGAATACCCCTTGTCCATTTCTCTTCAAGTATTGCTTCTAGCTGTCAGAAAAATAATATATTTTGTTTATTAGTAACAGCGTAGTTTTGTCGAAATATTATAATTGATGTATTTAACACTAGTATAGTTCAATTTTAATTAAAATAAATTTTGCTATACTCACATTCTAAAGTCAATCATTTACCAGGCCATACGATCTATACAATACGGCAGTTCTCTAATGGTTAATACTGTCATCATGCTTGGAATACACAGTTTTGCTCACGAATAGCTCATCTGCTATTAACTTTACACAGGTTGACGAAACATAGTTCTTTTTGAAGCAGTAGATAGAATAAAGTTTAAGCTTGTTATAGATACATAAAAAAAAAGATTTTAATTCTAGTAATAAACTGTATTTGTTTTTGCCTTGTAAAAATGAAGTGAGAAATTCTGGCTGCACATCTCGGACTTTAAGAGTAAAAATTCATTGGTGTTGATTCAAATGTTATGATCCTTTTCTATCAATTACTTTAAAGAAAAACAAATTTCAACAACTGAGTGAAAAGTTATTAACAAATGAGCAGTTGGTGTGTACAACTGTGTATGCCAAGCATGACTGTCAGTAGTACGGACCAGCAAATTGAACATTAAACGCAATTCTAGGAAATACTAAAATTATTTGGAGGGCTGCACTAACAATATTTTCTTACGTAATATGATTATGAACCCTCCTCCCCCCATCATGATAGATCGTAAGAAATTTGAGAACCCCCTATCCACCCCCTAAATTGAATTATTGAATGACCCCTAGAATTGGCAGCATTTTATCGTCTAATTTCAAAAGAATACTTTAGAGAACAATAACCTTTAAAAAATAAGATCCTTCAACAAAAAGCGTATTTTGTGTATACATTCTGGCACACCCTATAATCAACACTATGCATTACTGTATGATGTACCTTTGAATCAATTCAAAATAAATATGGTATGTTTAAATGTTAGTTCAAAAATACACGCACCTGAATAGTGGTAGTTATTAAAGGCACACAGCACATGTTTGCATCCTGACAGTGGCCGCAGGTCTTGGGCCGGTACAGCTTCCGTGAGACGCACGGCCCCAATCGCAGCCGGGAGGAGGACGTACGTTGAATGCTCCGGCACTGGTGTCCTTTCTGTGTGGGTGGAATAGATAAGCAAAGGCAAGCACCGGGTAAGATTAAATGGCTCTCCAACACCCCTTGCTCCCGATTTATCACGCGTTGGTACCGATGTTTCCATTCGTTGGAGACAAAGAAAAATCATTAGATAATTACACGTATTCTCGGAAGGAAAGGTAATTATCCTCATGGGACGAACTACCCACCGTACACTATTCGGTATCTGACGGGCAACTCGAGTGGCCCACATGGAGAAAAATGGACTTACCCTTCTGCGATGTTCCGGCTCGCCTAGCAACAGCAAACTATTAGCAACAGGATAGCGGCCCTGACGGTGCTTTTTGCTGCTGCTGCTGCTGCCACTGCCACTGATATCGCGGCCGTCGCCCACCACGGCCAGATCCTCACCGTCACCGTAGTCATTAACGATGCCGCTGTAGTAGTTATTGTCCTGTCGGTTGCATTTGTGGTTCTCACAGAGCCTTACCGTGCTGAGCCGCTGGCAGCCCGGTGTCGTGGTTATGTTCCTGGTCGAGATTCCGATGCCACAGCTCTGCGAGCACGATGACCACAGCGTTGTGGACGAGTTATAACAGGTTGCATTCACTGCGTTCCAGGAGGGGTGATGAATATCGTGTAATGTGGACACGTTGATTTGCGTACCACACATCCCACAGCGGAAGCCATTCATGGTTGGTTGTGTGGGCGAAAGAGAAAGGAGAAATTAAAATAATGTTCGTAGGGTATTAAAGTTAATGCCCGGAAATATAAATTCGATGTAAAATGCGGTCGGTTTTTAAGTAATAAACATATTCATCTTAGTAATAGGTCAAGCAAATCTCGTTATGAATCTAACCTACTTTCAAAGCGTTCCGGTGACGTAACCAGGCATCCTTGAGATAATTATGAAGACAACGTCTTAGAATGTCGATGTTGTACCCAATTTTAGCCAACCCCCTCACTACGACGCTGCTTGGATGCTGCTGCTGCTGAACTACCTAGCCCACGGGAAAGGGTAATGAATATTTAAAAATGAAAATCATGATAAGTTGCTCTCTCGTGCCCGGCAAGAGAGGTCGCCTTCGTTCTCTAAATAGCAGATCACGGAAGAAAAGGTAACAGGGATAAAAATGGGATTCGTTTTAAAAAATATGGCTGTCCGCTGCTGGCTTAAAGGATGGCCGGCAGGTCATGCTGCTGCCACCACATCCTAAGCCGGTCTCCATTTTCCCCAGCCATTTATCCCTTTCCGGACGCAAACAAAAGCGACGGGCGAATGAATGGGAAGTGTTACTGTCGAGTGGCGTTTGCATTACTTTCACTCTGGGTTGTGCCTTTTTACACTAGAGCTGAATTTTGTCTTCTTCCGACGACGACGACAAGGACGACGATGCGTGGTCGTTGGACGGTGGTCTGTCGGTACCTCAATAGAAAGGACAACAAGGAAAACTGCTCCATTTTCATATTTACGAGAGTGCACAAGTTCAACCGTCTTGAATCTGATTTGGGGCATAGGAGGATTTATTAGATTTGCAAAGATTCCTGGGAAGGATACTGGCCATAAAGAAACGTGTAAATTTGTTAAAATAAGTTTTTTGACCGTCGTAGTCGAAAGAAGGACATCGTAGCAACGTGATGAAACCACGTAGGTAATACTTTTATAGCTTTTGAACTTTTGAAAATCTTAAGTAAATTTTAACAGCAAGAATCCATCTTATAAAGTTGGTTCATATTGATGTTGACGGCTTTCTCCGTCATAATACATCTTATTAGTTTAATCTGCCAGACGTCATTGTCACGGTTTTAGTCGAAGGGGTGTTCAATTTATGATATTTGTGAGTCTTAACAGCTATTATAACGACAATGATGATGATGATGGTCCTACCGCTTATCCCTACATAGTTTTGAGCTGGGCGATTTATCTTTAAGATAATTAACTACAACATTTTAACCAGATTAGCAAAAAAGTGAACTGGCTACAATTACAGGTATAAATTCCCTCAACACTTCTCAGTTGCTTCATACCTATATAAATGTGGCTTAGACGTTCCCCACTTTGTTCATCTTTTTTCCACCGTAAATATTCACAAGCATTCATGAATAATCAACAAAGCATTCTACAGGGCTGGTAGTGCTGATGCGATATAAAAGTAGTGACTTTAGTGACTAAAATTACGGGAATAGTGACCAAATAGTGACTTGTAAATACTAAATAAGTAACCATTTATATGGTTATTTAGAAATTCAAATACGGTTCGATATTGAAATAAACTTTTTATGTCATGGAATTTAAAATCAAATTTCATAAATTCCTCTAATTTAATTGAATCTCACAACGGAATCTCCTGTGAAGAGCATTTGAAGTGATTTTAATAATTTACTTTTGCTTACGTTATATATGATGACTAGCAAATAGTTATTCCCATTTTTGTATGATCTTGTATGTGATTCTGCGTTCGAGATCTTTTAAATTTTAATATAAGAGCTAAGAACTTTTCTCAGAATTTCTTCACAATGATTTTAAGAACTTTTTTTTATAATAATTCCCCTTCTCTTAAATTTAGATGCAAATAAGTTTTAACAAAAATAATACTGCATTCTTGATTTTTTTTTTTGCAGAGCAATAAACAAAATTCTTGGAAATAGATTATTTCCGTAGTTGGAAATGCTTAACATCAAATATCAGCAGAGATAGAAATTCTCACTCAGCTGCACGATAAGCATTTCCTCACTCAAGCTACTTTTCGGTGAGTTGTGAACAGTTCATACTTTCATCTCTCCTTTGTCACCGATAATTAATCATGTTTTGTTGTTTTTCACATCATCCACATCCAGAGGGCCAATCACTTTCGAATGTATGGGAATGGTAGGAAACCATTTGGAAATGCATGGAAATTTTCAGTTTTTATTCATCATCGTCTTTATGGGCAGTTTTAGATGCACAAAAATTGCACGAGTACATTACTATGGTGATAAGGTAAACACTCGTTTATTTGTTTCCTTCTGTGAAAGCATGTTTAGTCACAAATCGTGGATTTTCTGATATTCTCCATACTGCAAAAATGATTTTCCTACCACTGAAGGGGCGACATCTCTCGGATTTTCAGTATAGCTACTACTCAAATCATATAATTAATTCATTATCCTCTCTCATACATAATCCGAAAATATCTCTCTTCAAAAACTAACGAAAATATTTTTTCATCACCCATTTGGCTCTGAAAATTACCAAGAGCGAAAAATATACCACCCCAAATTGTTCGGTTCCAACCCAATGTGATGTAAACAGTTGAGGCTTGGGAATTCGCCGTCTCTTTTGTTCTTCCGCTGATTAAATGGTTGACGGAGTGTGACGTCATACTGTGTTATCCATTTAAACAGCGGCAGAACGAAAGGGACAACGATTTCACATAGCCTCATCTGTTTACATTTCATTGATTTTAACCAGTCCGGAAGATTTTTTTTAATTTCCTTTTTATACCTCCTGTCAAATCATAAGGGTCATCCATAAATGACGATGCAATTTTCTTACCAATTTTAGACCTTCCCCTCCCCCTTCGTGGCGTGTTTTCTATACCTTATGCAGTCTATGTCCGTTACAAATGTTGAAACCCCCTCTCCATTACTCCTAAGATTCTACGTAACTTATGGATGTGTCCTTACTGTTGTTTTGGTTCTTAATTTCGGATTATCGTTTGCGTGCGGAAAGTGAATTTTCAAGGGGGAAGAAAGAAATGAAAAATCATTATCGGCATCAAGGATTCACTGAAAAAGAAACGATTTATCTGCCGCCCATGCTCTCCGAAAAAAATAAATCGCTGATGCTTTTCTCGCGAAAACTGCTGTGAGCGTATAATATTCTCTCGCTTCTCACATTCTCTTCTATTTTTCCTAGCAGGTGAAAAATTACGTTTCTCTTCTCTAGTAGGCGAAAATTTCGATCTCTGAATATCAGAATTAAAATGGACACTTTAGACGATGAATGAGGAGATGAAAGTAAAGAGTTGATAGTTCCGTTATAGTACGGCAGTGTGAAATTTGTATATAGATGGTAGAAAGCGAACGAATGACAATTTTGAGGAAGGTACAAAATTGGATAGAGCATCTCCTTTACCAAGCTCATCAAATTACTGTGATAGACTTGTATCTTTTTGAATAACTCAAATTTTTCATCTTTGGAAATGTTATATGCTTGACACTCTTTTGACTAAGGTTTCCATTTCTTCACCGTTTTTGGCTACTTATAAATCGAGAAACTGTCGATGGCTCTTTCCGGTTATTTCTAGAGAATCGCGAAATACTTTTTAAACATTATTTAAATTCCTAAAGCTTTTAGTTCATATTTTACTTCCTGAATTTTCTTCCAACTTTCGCCTGGAATTTTCTTCCATCTATGTTATGTTGTAAACTTATTTTTCGATTACTCCCGAAAACTTATTTCAACTTCCCTTGGAAGCTTCTTCAGCCATCGCTCGAAAGGTTCTTCCGTCTTCTTCCACCAGTTTTTTGTATGTTTTCAAGTTCCCTGAACTTCTGGGATGTTTCCAGATTTTTATTCGGGATTCACACAACTGCAGGAACTTTTGAGAAGTTCTGAAACTTCAGAAAAGTCTAAGCTTTTGAGTAAGTTCCGATAAATTAAAGATAGTTTCATTAACTTCTGTTCAAATTCCAAAACCCAAAATTTCAGGAAAGTCCAGCAAACTCCATTGAACTTACGAAAACATCAGAATACAGAATATTTTGAAAAGTTCAAAGAACTTCAGGGAAATTTAATGGTTTTCAGGAAAGTTTCATATGTTTCAACTTCAAGGAAATGCTGATATTTTAAAGGATTTCCAAAAAACTCAGGCAAATTTAGGATACTTAAGGGAAGTTACATGACCATAAGAACATTGTGAGAAAATTTTATGGATAATTCCGTGCTTTATAATGGCAGTGCCAAGAATTAAAATTTTAAAAATCGGGAAGGTCAGAGATCTTCAATGCTAATGATATAATAAATGCAGGAAAAATTTTAGAGCACTTAAGAAATTTCATAATCTTCAAGAAAGTTCAGATACCTTCAAAGATGATTATAGATATTCATGTAGCCTCATTATAATAAGGGAAGTTCCAAGTACTTGGAGGATGATCAGAGGACTCTAAAAACAGCCCCATTCACTTCAAGAAAATTACAAGAAATTTTAAGGAATTCCGTGGAATTATAGAATATTCCTAAGTGCATTTCAGGAATGCTCCGAAAACTTCAGGGGCATTGCGGGGTCTTCAGTGATAATTTATGAATATCAGGAAAATTTGCTGGATCATTAGAACATCCCCCAGAAATCTCTTTCTTCCGGAATTATGTCCTTGTTTCTTTCAACTGTTCCATAGGCGCTATAGCTTCCGAATTTCTTCAGAAGTTTCTTGCAATCTACCTTAGAAAGTGTCTGCCAGCGTCTTCAGGAAGTTTCTTCCGTCTTGTTCTGGAAGTGTATCCATAAGCCATAGGTTATTGGAAGGGTTTTCCGAACTTCTTCTGGCTTACCCTAGAACTGGCTACTTCTGGAATTTACTTCTATTATCCGAAACTTTTCTGGCTTCCTTTGGATGTGGAATCCGAT